TATTCTACCAATATTTATCACTCATCATTACTGCTACTATATTGCCACCAGAATTAAACAAGACATCTTTCAGATATCTTCCAAACAAATGTACTTCTGTTTCAAATCATTTTTGCTTTCCATTGTTATAATAATTCTTGCTTAATTATTTCAGTTATTTTCCTTTGTTACAGCTAGTTTTGCATACATAAGTTAGTTCTATTTCCTTTACAGAACTATTGCTATTCTGCAAGGAAAAGAGGATAAGAGTTGCACAGCTGTTAACTAACGGACTGACTTGACATGAGAAAAATCTAATATAGGGATGTATAAGGCAGTCCCATTTCCACCAGAGAATAATCTTTTGTAAGTTTGAGTTTTCCTACATGTGTCACATTTTTAATTGATAATACATTTATTCTTAACAATATTAATAAGAAAAGCTATACTTATCAAGAGGTTTGCTGTATAATCTTGAATAAAATGGTAAGTAATATGTTTTGAAAAAGAAAAAAAAAGCAACAAAGTTTAAAATGTAAAATTTGATCTTAGGCACATAACCCTATGTTTTCGGTTGTCTAACCATCCTAGGTTTTTGTTGCTAACCCTAGCACTTTTTTCCCCTCAAGGACAAAAAGTAAAAAAAAAAAAAGATTTAAACTTTAAAAGAAACAGATTTTCAAATTGATTTGTGCATCAAATTGATTTGGTATAGCCCAGTACTTGAAACACTGAGTACATTGTATACACTAATTATAATCTATGTACATGTTTTAAAAAACTACATACCTACCCTAATTTTAAAAACTGCAATAGGAAACACATTTTTTTATGACAATAGACTTCTTTGCAGATAAGTTTGGAAAACAGTTTTAGTATAATCATGAATTAGAACTTAACAAATCCTTCTGTATTTGATGAGAGTTAGTCTGCAAGATTGAGGCTAGTAAATTTCTGGTTGAGCTAGTTTCATAATTTCAGTAGTCTGGTTGCAGTACAGTTTCATCTGTTGCAAATGAGTTAGTGAAAATTGAGCAGGATTTTCTTAATCTGTTAATCCTTTATCCTACAAAGAAATGTGTGCTGTAGGCCTGTAATTGCACATAGATCTAAATTGTACAGTTTCACAAACTGTGAGATGTAACTTAGTTGTTACAGTTGAAAAAGTCATTTGCTGTTTTAAATAGGAAGACATTTGTACAGTGTCTCGATTAGTACACTTGAGGTAGAACTTTTTTAATATGGACTTAATTGAGTTTTGATTATGCATCACTAGAAAAAATATTGGACTTTTTTTTTTAAAAGTAGTTATATTTAATTCTATATTTTAAGGATTTTATACTTCAAATGATATTGTTATATTTTTACTTTGATCTCATTTTTTTTCATATATCATATATACTTGTTTGTATGTCAAGTCAAAGTGCAAATTGATTTGCTGTAGCGTAAACACCTACAGATCAGGGTCTATGCTGTTTGTTCTTCTGATAACTCCTATCATATGCACATACCCAGATATGCTAATGCATTAGTTAGTGCTTTACAGTCTCATATTTAGCATAGGGTCAGAATTTTAAAGAAGAAGAATTTCCCTGGGTTTCCTCATTAGTTATATTGGCTATCTAAAAAGACTTTGTATATCTTAGGTATTGTTTAAAGAACCTTTAATTCCCTCTTTTTCGTGTATGTTTGATGGGTGTAATATGGGTTATAGAGTATACAGCTTGGCCTTACTGCAGATGTGCACCTTTCAAAAAAGTGCTAGCTCCACTGCTCATTTTCACTTCCCGAACTTCAGAGGCAAATTGTAAAAAAAAGAGCCAATAACTTTGTTTACATTTTATTTATTTGGTAATTCATTGATTGCACTTTTAGAAGCTTGTATTGTCTAGTCTAGCAAAATTCATTTTCCATATTTTAAAATTTGCCAAGGATATTGTACTTTAGACATATTCAGGTTGATTTTTGGAGCACAAGGAAGCAGTCATTTTAGTTAGCAGTCTGATAAGATCATTTACAATTTCCAAAAGTACCATATCCAAAGAAATATCAGCCACATTACATAAAAGTAGCAAAGGGGTATGCTAACATTTTCTCCACTGTGCATTCTTAAAATGCAAACAGCTTCAAATTACATACATCACTCTGTCAAAAGTACATAATAACTGGTGAGTGCCACCTTATGCATTGACAGATACTAATCTGTGCAGCTTGGAGTTGGACTGATCTTATAAATGAGTATATATGGTACCATATGTAGAATTTTATTGTCTTTAACTTTTACCTTAAAGGACTACATTTTTATGTTTATAGAGTTTATGTTACAAAACATTTTGCAGTTTTTATCTTAACAATTACAGTACTTTTAATTAGTGCTATAGCCAGTATTGTTCTTGTATGCCAGTAAATACCATACATAAAAACATATATTTGTATTCCTCAAAGGCAGTTGGAACACATACATATTTATAACCCTGAAAGACACACATTGAAAACCTCTGCCCTTTGATAGATAATATAAATATATGAGAACACACACACACACACACACACAGAGTGGAAAATAAACATACAAGTTAAATAAGTAAAGTTTATTGTCCATCTGTAATGTATGATGTTGGAGTATACTTACTCATATTTTCATATTGAATTCCGGCATCCATATTGTGGGAAAGCTTATGTTTTGGGAAGATTTTTATTTAAAATAAAATGAATTAATGCTTGGTATTGCAAGAACAATAATCATACATTTGCCATAATATTTTATAAAGAATCCTATGACACTTTATATTCAGAATCTATGCATGTGCAGTAAAATGTCTCATCTGTCTATATGCATATACTGTGAAATGTTTCATCTGTCTCTATGCATATATTCTGAAATGTCTCATCTGTCTGTATGCATATATTCTGAAATGTCTCATCTGTCTGTATGTATGTACTGTGAAATGTCTCATCTGTCTCTATGCATATACTCTAAAATGTCTTATCTGTCTGTATGCATATACTCTGAAATGTCACATCTGTGCCATGTGACTGCCACATGTATATAGTACATTTTAGGTCCTACTCCAAACACCAGAACTGGATCTTCCATCACATGATTTACATGTAGCTCTGTGTCTGTTCAGTCTGTTTAGATTAATTGGTAGAATAAACAACATTAATCATTAACTGCTGGTGCATTATCAAGGTCTTTGCTGTTGGACTGTTTACAAGTGCTTACATTGTGATTCTTGTACATGTACTGCTGTATTAGTGTTTTGCAATGAACTTTTCTGAAGTGTGATCCTTTTATACCTTTTTCAATCCTTTTATATCTTCATTTTGCATCTTTTTAAGTCTGTTGTTTCTTTTTTCAGTCCCTTGAAAGGTCGAGAGAACAAAGTTATAGTTGTGTCAATCATCGGAAAAAGCAGTTATAGCCACTATACATCAAAAGCTTCTCCCTTTAACATCATTTTGGATGCGGATGCATTCAAGGTAATCCTTTCTGGATGGAAAATACAGTCAAACCTACTTATCTCTACCTTCGTTATTTCAAGAACCCATGTATGTCGAGTATCTTGGTCCAGTCCCGAAAAATCCTTCTTCGTTATGCTAATTTTTCCCCATTTATCTCAACTCCTGTTAAGTTGATAACCCTTTTATGTCAGGCATAAGTTTCAGTCCAAAGTAACATAGACTTTTAATGTCAATCTGAGAAATTTTACAACAAATGATCCAGTGTTTCTGCTGCTACCGTTACCTTGTACTGCATGAATGGACCCCTTTTTTCACCCAACCAAAAATCCTAGAATTTGTATTGCACAGTGGATCTATTTTCAGAAAGAGCACTTTTCTTAATATAATTACTTACTTTCTTGCTTCATTACAAAAATTCATTAAAACAACTGCACATTTATGGTTGTATTATTTGTTGACCTACTGGTAATAATGATGCATTACTATATATATTTTTCTTATTTTCACAAATTTTTTTTACGTTAAGTCAGAAAACAATCTTGACCTTGCAGCATTGTTTCAAATTCCACAACAGAGATTGTCACTTTTCTGACCTACATTATTAAATATTTAGGCTAAATCTACTGTCACATATTTAAACTTTGTTTTCATTATATTATATATATTTCCTAAACCTATTTGCCAAATTATTTACATAAACAGACAGTTTAATGAAGTGGTATATCAAGTACACAGCAATGTCTGCCATTACAAGTTCATTTACGGTTTCAAACTTATTTAATACCGAAAATATGCAAATACGGCTTTTAAAATCTTTATTTTTTGAATAAAAGAAAGAAATTAGAAAAAACTCTTCCCCGATCATATTTTTAAAAAGCTAATTGCTTTTTACATATTGATGTTTAAATTTCGAAACAGAATTTGGTATATTTTCATCATCGCACAGTGCACCAACTTCATGTAATCAAGAAATGATATTTTGCTCCAGAAAGTGTTAATGGTCAGTTAGCTATTAAAACTTGCATGTGAATGTGCAAGAATTGTTTTCATTGTAAGCGGATTGGTATCAACATCACATAAATGCATTTGGCCTTGCAAACTGGCTACAGTGAGGGGGCATCTTAAAGTCGTAATCTACTGTCATTTTACATCTGAAAAATCAGAGGGTGAAGTTGTTTTTGCTTTCCTAACAGAAGAAGGCAAAGTTTATGTTTCTCAGGAAACTTTTTTGCCGACTTTGCCTGGTAGCATGACCCCTGGTATACTACATCACAAATCCAGTCCTCCAAGGTAAGAATATTTTAGCTGAAAAACTGAAAGTTATCTGCCCATTTAGGTGGCAGTTAGAATGATCTTCTCTTGATACCCAATTGGTGCTAAATGCCATGAAATTGTCAGTTACTAATGTTCATACTGAATAGCATTACTACAGACAGAAAGACCTCAAAAACAGTTTGGAAAGTTCTCTATCTAAAAACAGGTTGGAGGAGTTTCATCTTCAATGGGAAGTATACTCCATTCAATTTCCAATTTTTATGTTATTCCTTTCACCAATGGACTGCTCTGGTGGTCTAGTGGTTAGAACATCTGCCTTGGATGTGGAAGGTCATGGGTTTGATCCCCGGCTGAGTCATATCAAAGACTTATAAAAATGGCACTGACAGCTGCCTAGCTTCTTGGTGCTCAGCATTAAGAGGTTAGTGTTAGGACTGGTCAGCCAGGTGTCAGGATTATTTGACTGGGTGGGACATGATGCTACTTGCCTGCATCTTGATGCCCAATGCTAGACATCACTATAAACTGTCACACTGCAGATATCATAATGCTATGACTGAAAAATTGTGCAAGCTACATTAAAAATCAAAATCACACATACGTTTGCCAATGATAAAGTTTACAAGCTTTTTATTTTGTTACCACTTTGCTGTCTATGCACACATAGGCATCCTTGGTACATACCTGCACTGGTTGCATTCGTGTTCCCTGACATTTCTCTAGCCATATTGATAAGTGCAATGCAGGGGTGTGATATAGAAAACTAATTTGGTATTGCTGTATAATTTCTGCATTCATGATACATACAGTTAAGTTTCTATAAATCCATACAGAAAGAATTCCATTATTTGTATGTGAATCTACATGGAATAGGATGCACTTTCTGTATAACATCTACACTGTTGTCAAATATCCCAGAAGGCATTGTGGAACAAAGTCCTCAGACCATTGCGTTCTTCTTTGGGAATTTCTAAGCTGGTGTATTCAATGACAGTTCCATGAACAAGTTCATATTAAGGCCAGCTACAGGTATTAATGGAATTAATTGACTCGTCCCAGAAGAGTCAGCCAATACAGGCAGAATAGTTGCTTCATTCCTTGGTTTTCTCTAGCATATGTGTATGCTGGGATCAACCATTTGGTGGATCTACTGGTGACAAGGGTATTTCAAAACTCCCAGCCTTTAGCTCACCAGTCAGGGATATGAAGGTCTGGGCTGTTGACACTCTTTCCATAGATTGGAACGGTTTAAACACAGATGCTTACCCAGCAACATAAATGTTTTTGAAAATGATACAGAATGCACAAATATTGATATGCCGCCTCATTCTGATAGCTCCATTCAAATGGGAAACACTCATGGTTGACAACTTTGTCAATATAGTTGCCAAATTTTCTTGGAAATAGAGATATTTCATAATCGGTTCAAGCAACCACGTTTTGAGTCATAATCCAGTGTTGATCAACCTGCATGTCTGGATTATATTAAACAAACCCTCATGAACTAACAGTTCTTTCAGCAAAAGTGAAAATTTTATCCATATCTGCAAAAAAGTATATTGCTTTGTTTTTTCTTCTTGAAACAAATGTAACTTTTTACTACTGTATATAAGATGCAATAACTACTAGATATGTCAGTTTTGTTTAGCTCTTATATATCTAATTGTTTTAGTACAATAAGATTTTACGCAGTGAGATTGCCTAGCTTATGTAGTTTTGAAGTCTAAAGATAAAGAAAAAAGTAGAAGTATGAGTTTTTAAAAATTAAAGTCATACAAGAATATTTCATGCATTTATAAAAAGCTTAACATATTGAGCAGTTTAATTATGTCATCTGAATGTTTTCTTCAGAGACAAATATATTGATTTTGTTTGTTAGGTTCTTGGGTGTCTAAGATGGTACCATAAGTTAAATTATTTCTTGTTTAACCTTTTGCTTGGTATGCTTTTTATAAATTATTGCTTAAAAGAGGTTAACTTACACAGTATAATATAACTTGAGGTGGTTTTATTTGCTTTTTACTTAAATTATTTCTTTCTTTTTCTAGGGTGTGCAGGAAGCAGATGAAAATGAAACAAAGGTAAATCATGGAAATCGGTAAAACAGTACAATTTTAATTTTTGGCCTAAACTCCCACTCCCCACCCATTTATCCCTTAAAGTGCATTAGCTTTATCAGCTTGAATTTTAGATTAACTTATAGCAGTTTGCCAAATAATGTTTGGCCTGGAATATCCCCAGGTTTGTTACTCTTCCATATTAACCATATATATTGGGACACTAAAATAATAATTTTTTTCTGTTCCAGAATTTAAGGTGAAACAATTATCACCTAGGTTGTATATCCCAAGACTTCAGAATTGAAATAATTTGTATTGAATTTGTTCCTATCCCCCACTGCATGTTCCAAAAAAATAGATAAACAAAAGGCTTGTCTGATAATAAAAAGAAAGAAACTAACCTTGTAATATTATCGTTTATTCCTTTTTATTCATCATGAGCATTGAAGAATAAAATATATCCACAAACTCTGTATACCACTATGTAGCATAGGCTTCCATACTGTAGTGTGTATCGCTTATGACTGATAACACACGATGCATTAAAGAATAAAATATATTCTCAAACTCCATATGCCAATATGTAGCATAGGCTTCCATACTGTAGTGTGTATAGCTTATGTCTGATAACACACGATGCATTGAAGAATAAAATATATCCACGAACTCCATATGCCAATATGTAGCATAGGCTTCTATACTGTAGTGTGTATAGCTTATGACCGATAACACACGATGCATTAAAGAATAAAATATATCCACAAACTCTGTATACCACTATGTAGCATAGGCTTCCATACTGTAGTGTGTATCGCGTTTGACCGATAACACATGATGCATTAAAGAATAAAATATATCCACAAACTCCATATGCCACTATGTAGCATAGGCTTCCATACTGTAGTGTGTATAGCTGATGTCTGATAACACATGATTTGATGTTCATTGACATAACCATTGAGAAGCAAATTGTTTGGTTGTGCTCAAAGGCTTAAATATGTTATCCGACTGAAAACTGAATCCAACAAAATCGCAAACAAGAGGAAATAATCAACAGATATCTTGACAACCATCATTCATGCATGGCGTGGTGTTAGGTGCAAAACAACCATGATTGAAATATATCCAGGTCAACTATAAGACAGTATCTTGCAAATAAAAATCATTATTTGAATGCACATTCACTTGAGTGCAGGTGACACTCTTTTCACTAGCACAGGTTACAAAAGTATCATTAAAGTAAGTTATTGGTGTGTATTCTATTTACCTGCAAACATTATTGCCCATTTGTATTAATGAAGACAGATGCCAAGCACATATAATTGGGGATGGTGAATAAACACAACTGGCAGTAAGCAGTAAACTCATTATTTGAATTTACCGACAGAACATCAAAGACAAAGGTTATTTTTATTACAAGGCAAGCTGACATTGGATACTTTAAAGCAGGTTTTTTTTAAGGATATCAATACAAAGGTTATTTTATTGTAAAGCAAACTGACCTCAGAAGCCAAATTTGGGTTCTTTTAGGTGTGCCAAAAGTTTTGAATATTTTTTTGAATATACAAAGATGGGTGAGATATGGAGCTAACTTTGATTCCTCTTCACCTGTATTCATGGGAATTTTGAAAACATTAAATAAATGGAACAGTTTTTAAAGTGATACAATATAGTGCTTTGTGCACGGACATTGATGACCCAGCATCATTCAGATTTGGAGAAAATAAAATCTTTTGATGAATTTGTGAAGGCCAGAAGAGAGGCAGATGACTTTGCTGACACTATGATCATTAACATGGATAAATTCTAATGTACTTTGATCTCATTCCTGAATGGACTGATGATAAGATGGGAGTCAGAAGTGTGAGAATTAGCATGATTAGTGCAGATTTGAAAAATCAAAATTTTTTCCTTTCAGTTACTGTATTAGCTGATGTGTTGTCTCAAACAATAATTTTTCATGGTATGAGAGCTAAAATAAATATTCATGCATTGTATGTGTGCATGAGAAGGGTCATGTTGATGAGATGATCCTGCAGTGGATTAAAGAGTTTTATCTCAGGTATATAGTTTTATATTTTTTTAAAAAAATTTTACCCTACCTAGCAAAATGTTGTTCTTTGTGATCTACTTTTTACACTCCATTGACAATGCTAAGTTTATTTTATTTAGCTCCTTTTCTCAAACATTGTTGCTTTTGGTTGGTTGGTTGTTGTGGGGCTTAACGCAATTTTTCAGCACACGATAGGCTATACATGGTGTCCAGAATTAATGGTGGAGGAAGAAACCAGGAAATCACCGGAAAGAATCACTGACCCACGAGAAGCTACTGGCAAGCTTTCTCACATATCCACATTTGCTGAATTTTAGACTTGAACCCACAGACAGAGGTGAGATGGAAGTGATCCATAACGGAGATCGATTTAGACCACTTGGCCACTCGGGGCCCCTCAAACATTGTTGCCAGTACAGCTATTGAATTTTATATGTGCATGCATCTTGAGGATTTTTACCATACTTGGCCTAAGGTGGGTCATTGTGACCTATTTAGATTATTGTGACTTTTAATTTGCACTCCAGTGTTCAATTGACATTTTGAAATTTAGTTATATTTTGCTAGAACAGTCATGAAATTTGATGTATTCTTGCATAAAAAGGAATCATACCATACCAGACTTAATTTAAGTTCTTGCAATGGAATGTTAACACTCCATAGGTAACATTAAGTTTTTAATCCCATTGCAGCTAATTTCTGACAGTGACACTTGATGTTTTATATATTGTTGAATTTATAAGAATGTTTTCTAATACCTTAATAAATTAGACATTTTATGTTCAATATGAAATGAATAGCTGATAAAATGTAACCCTCATCTGTCTTAGCCGTCTTACCTATCATTATGTAAACCGAAACTGTAGAGATGCGGGAGGGAGAAGAAGGTAATTGTAAATGACATTAGTAAGAAAAGTAAGAAAAAGTAAACCTTTCTGGTGGCCTAAGTGGTTAGAGCATCTGCCTAGCATGTAGGAGATCATGTGTTTTAACCCTGGCCAAATGATACCATAGACATAAAAATGGTATTATCTGCTGTCTTGCTTGAGGCTCATCATTAAGAGGTTAGTGTTAGGCCTGGTATCAGGACAAAGTGACATGATGTCCAAGTGTTAGATATCACTATAAACTGCCACACTGCTGTCATCATGGCGATATTACTAAAATTGTTAAAGCTGCGTTAAAAATTGAAATTACAAATATTGAATAAATAAAGGGCTAAAAATTTATTTCTTTAATCGCTGT